ATCATGTTGGCCAGACTGATCTCAAATTCCTGATCTGCCCGCTTTGGCCTCCCAAAGTGCTGGGATTACAGGCATGAGTCACCACACTGAGCCTGATTAATCAATTTGAGGAAAATTGACACGTTTATATTATTGATCCTCCATCCGGGAAATGGTACATCTCTTCCGTTATTTTTTGTTGTTTAGTGAAATCATAAAGAATATTTCTTCCTAGATTTAAGTATTTTTAGATGCTGTTGCTTTTATGAACTAAATCTTTTTTTCCCATAATGTTATTTTCTAAAACTTCCTATTCTCCTCATTGGGGAATTAATGCGAGAGTGTTACTTTTTCAATATTGGGCATCAAATACTACTTAGACAACTGTAGGTTTGCTAATTTCTCACCTTGTCACTGTTCCTTGTATATAGATAGCATCTCCTTTTCTGGAATTTACCTTTTCTTTCATAGTAGTGCATCCTTAAGTAATTCTTCAGAATGAGTGCATAAGAGGTAAATGTTCTGAATTCTTGGAGGTTAGAAAATGTCTTCATTTCACTTTCTCATTTTAATGCTGGTTTTAAAATCTGAAGTTATTGCTTCATTGCTGCCCAGCATTTGTTACCTTTCAGGTGTCTGAAAGCCAATCTTTTTTTTTTCCTTTCTTCCTTTTTTTTTTTTTCAAGGGCTGGCTGTGAGTGGCCAGCCAGGGTGGGGGATGAGCGTCGGGTTTCGTCCAAGCACTGTTGAAGCAGGGAACCGCAGTGACTCTTGGTGAAAAAAGTCCCAGCCAATCTCATTTTTGTTTCTTTTAGCTAACCTGTCTTTCTCATAGTTTAATACTTTTAGGGTTTTCTCTTTGTCCTTTTGGCTCTGAACATCCTTAGGGTTTGTCTAAGTAAGGAGCTTTTTAAAGTTTATCTTAGCTGACACTTGGTAGGTCTTCTGTCTTAAGCCTTTCTTTAAGTTGTGGCAAAATTTTCTTTTATTATTTTTTTGTGAATCTCTTCCCCACCAATTAGTTCTCTCCTGGCACTTCTTTTGGATGAATGGAGTCACTCATGCACCAATACTTTGTGTCTCTGTATTAGTTTGCTAGGGCTGCCATAACAAACACCATAAACTGGGAGATTTAAACAATAGAAATTTATTTTCTCATGGTTCTGGAGGCTGAGAAGTCCAAAATCAAGGTGCTGGCCAATTCAGTTTCTGGTAAGGACTCTTTTCCTGGCTTGTATATTGCTGCCTTCCAGCTACATCTTCATTTGGAGAAGAAAAAACTCTGGTGTCTCTTTTTTCCTCTTATGAGGCTGTCATCCTACTAAATTGGGACCCCCCCCAGATGACCTCATTTAACATGTATCACCTCCTCACAGGCCACATAAAGCCATATTCATGGTTAGGGCTTCAAAATATGAATTTGGGAGGGAGGCACAATTAAGTCTCTTAATTGTTCTCCCAAATTTTCCATTTGTGCTATTTTCTGTATATTCAGAGATTTCCTCAGATTTAACTTCTTGATTAGGTCTTCAATTTCTGTCATATCCATTCTATTATTCACTCATCTTTTGCTTTATTTAGTTTTACTATCATATTTTTAAATTCCCCCTTTTTTGTTGTTTTTCCTTTGTCACAACAATTATATGTTCCCTTTCATAGCAACCTGCTGCAATATATTCATATCTTTCTAAGGATGATGTATTTAAAAATTTCTTAATGTTCTTTTCTGTTTATTTGATTATCTTTCCTCTGAGATTAGTTTTCAGTTGGTTCACCATAGTCTTTTTCTTTTTTAAGGCTGTTGAATTTTCTCGAGCATCTGGGGATCCTTGGCTTTCCATCCATATCTATGATTGAAGGATAGCTTATTTAGTGGGTATGTTATTTAAGTTTTTATCTCAGTTTAGAGGTATCTGTTTCCCCTACAGGCTCCTCTGATGAATGATGGGTCAGTCAGAACTCTGTGTGTGTGAAGCAGAAAGGGAGCAAGGCTTGGAGATGATCCTTTTCCCCACTCCTTCCTTTGCTAATCTGTAATGCCAAAAATAAAGAGGACTTTACTATGATGAAGCTACAGTTGACAGTCTCCCTCTGCATCTGTGGAAGGTGGCTGGGGTTACTTCCAGTCTTGCTCTACTTTCTCCATCTCTTACACTCTAGCAGGTACCCTCCCCAGATAGGCAATTTACTTTCTTAGAATGAAGTTATGTGTTTTATCTGGGGTCAGCCCACCACCACTACTGCCACTGCCACCACCACCACCACTACCACTACCAATTGCAACTCCCTGTAGTGAAAGAAGAAGGAAAAGAATCTGTTGTTCAGAGGGCAGTTGAAGATTGATAATTCTGATGTTTGCTTCACAACCCCTCCTATACTTTTTGTTTCCTCTGAGCTTGGAGATTCTCTGCTCCTATGATTGAAAGAATTATTTCATCAGAGTGTTTAGAAATGTGTTAATACTCTCTGCTCTGCTACTCTTCATTAGTCTGATCCTGACTGCTTTCTATCCAGATTTTTATCATAATTTATATCTCCTTTCTTGTATGTTGGTGCTAGTAGGGACTTACTGATTTTAAAAGCTAATCACTGTCTTTTAAGGAATTTATGGTGGGAGGTCAAGTATATGTTTGTGCACGGCTTTCCATCTTGATTTCCTTCCTCTTCTCCCTTTCCTTATTTCTTCTTTTGGTAATGGAAGTTTCAATAGAAAAAAATAAAATAAAATAAAATGTGGCATATATACACCATGGAATACTATGCAGCCATAAAAAACGATGAGTTCGTGTCCTTTGCAGGGACCTGGATGAACCTGGAAACCATCAGTCTCAGAAAACTGACACAAGAACAGAAAATCAAACACCGCATGTTCTCACTCATAGGCGGGTGTTGAACAATGAGAACACATGGACACAGGGAGGGAAGCATTACACACTGGGGTCTGTCAGGGGTAAATAGGGGAGGGACAGCAGGGGGTGGGGAGTTGGGGAGAGAGAGCATGGGGAGAAATGCCAGATATAGGTGTTGGGGAGGAAGGCAGCAAATCACAGTGCCATGTGTGTACCTATGCAACAATCTTGCATGTTCTTCACACGTACCCCAAAACCTAAAATGCAATTTTTAAAAAAAAAGCTTCCCAGTCTACTCCAGAAAAAAAATAAAATAAAATAAAAATAAATAAATAAATAAATAATTTAAAAAAAGAAATTTTCAAGAGAGTATGCTGTTGGAATACAGCTTCTTTGTTAATTAAAATAATTTTACTTAGGCAGGGCGCGGTGGCTCACACCTGTAATTCCAACACTTTGGAAGGTCATGGTAGGCTGATCGCTTAAAGTCAGGAGTTTGAGACCAGCTTGGCCAATATGGTGAAAGCCTGTCTCTACTGAAAACACAAAAATTAGCCTGGCATGGTGGCGCACAACTGTCATTCCGGCTACTTGGGAGGCTCAGGCATGAGAATCGCTTGAACCCGGGAGGTGGAGGTTGCAGTGAGCCGAGATCACACCATTGCATTCCAGCCTGGGTAACAGAGTGAAACTCTGTCTCAAAAAAATAAAAAAATATTATTCAATAAAATGTTCAGACACATATAGCATGGTTTTGAATCCTCACAATAATCCTATTATGTAGGAATCAAATTCGACACTTGATTAATGAGGAAGTGAATCTCAGGAAGGTTAAGTGAAGTAACTGAGGTCACACAGCTAATAAAGAGACCCAAAGTCTGACTCCAAAGCCTGCTTTACATGGCTAGACATTGTCTACATGGTTCTGTTATATTTGTTTTCTCTAGTTTTCAGTATGTTTATTTTTACTTTCCCCATTGATATGTAAGTTCCTTGAGGGTAGGAGTCCTGACTATAGTTTCTTTTTTATTTTTATTTTTCATTTGAGACAAGGTCTTGCTTTGTCGCCCAAGCTGGAGTGCAGTGGTGTGATCATGGCTCACTGCAGTTTTGACTTCCCAGAATTAAGTGATCCTCTCACTTTAGTCCCCCAAGTAACTGGGACTACAGGCACACGCCACCACGCCTGGCTAATTTTTTTTTATTTTTGGTAGATACAGGGTTTCTCTGTGTTGCCCAGGCTGATCTCGAACTCCTGATCTCAAGTAATCTACGCTTCTCCCTCTCCCAAAGTACTGGGATTATAGATGTGAGCCGCCACCCCAGCCTAGTTTCTTACTTGTATTCTGAGGTGCCTGACTTAATGTTCTACAAGCAGCAATCAGTTTAAATTTTGTGGACCAACTAGGTAAAGCAGTTAATTATAATTATGCTATCATCATGCATGATTATACATTAGAGTGGTACAAATGCTTTATTTGAGGTCTTTAAATTTTTATGTCCACTAAATTAAAGATTGGGTTGCAAATCGAAATTAGAACTAGAGGAAAGACTGGGCATGGTGGCTTACACCTGTAATTCCAGCACTTTGAGAGGCTGAGGCGTGTGGATCACGAGATCAGGAGTTCAAGACCAGCCTGACCAAGATGGTGAAAGCCTGTCTCTACTAAAAATACAAAAATTAGCGAGCCATGGTGGCAGGAGTCTGTAATCCAAGCTACTTGGGAGGCTGAGGCAGGAGAATTGCATGAACCAGAGCAGCAGAGGTGGCAGTGAGCAGGGATCAAACCACTGCACTCCAGCCTGGGAGAAAGAGTGAGACTCTGTCAAAAAAAAAACCACTAGAGGAAAAGTCAAAGTTCAGCTTCTAGCTAGAGTTGTTAAAGCAACTGCAGAAAATAAATCTGCATAGACAGAAGGGAGATCAAGAGGAAATACCTGTTGATCTCTAATATGAGTTCTTGACAATTGTTTTTCTATTTCTTCAATACTTTCATATGTTGAGATGACTAGAATTATGATTCTTTCATGTATTCCATAACATTCTCTGTCATATTTTTCTCTTGAAGCCTGTTTCAGGAAGAGCTAACTTTCTGAAGGACATAGAATCATCATGCCTTAACATTCCTAAAGATGGGGTACCCTGGGTTTGTTCTTTCTCTGTGTATATTTTTTAATATGGAATGCTTCATGAATTTGCATGTCATTCTTGTGCAGGGGCCATGCTAACCTTCTCTGTGTCATTCTAATTTTTAGTATATGTGCTGTTGAAGCAAGCATAGGTTTTGTTCTTTCTGATCCCATTTGGTTCATTAATTCATTCACTCATTCATTGACATCTATGACACTGGTTTTTAACCTGGCTACATAATAAAGCCACCCAGGAAACACTTCTAAAATACCATTACCAGGTTTCACCCATAGATTAATAAAGCCTAGGGAAGGCCTATACATTTCTAAAGCTCCTCAAGCAATTACGATGCATATGAGGGTTGAACACCCCTGCCCAATGATATTTTAGGTCCTGTGCAAACAAAAGGGGATGCAAATAAAAAGAAATAATTGCTAACATTGAGAATGCATACTGTATGTCGGGCATTATTCTTAGTTCCTTATGTGTTTTAACACATTTAATCCTCTCAACAACCCTAGAAGGTAAGTATTATTCACCTTTTATACGCAAGAAAACTGAGGCACAGAAAGGCTAGGTAACTTGCCCAAGGTAAGACATATAATATAGGAAGTGGCAGAATCAGGTCCTGGAGTCCATCCTCACTTTTCTATGGCCCATCCATATATCATGGTTGAGTAAATAATGAAAAGATAGGAGATATGTATCAAGAGGAACACCTAAAGTGACAGGTGGAGGAAGGAGATAGGTTCAGGAAGGCTTCCTATAGGAGGTGGCACTTCAATTAAATAGAGGAAAAATGGACACCAGAGAGGCAAAGTGGGGAGCAGTGTTCCTCAGGTTCCTATCTCCTTTGTCTTGCTACACAACCTGCCTTCCCTAGTCCCAGGAGCTCCTTCCTCCCTCTTCTCTACAGTGAAAACACTGGAATGCCTTCAATCATCCTTAACACGCCTAACATTTCATCTGGGAAGTCTGAAGTCATGCACAATTACTCATGCAATTTTTCCTCCAAACAATAGGTCCTTCTGTGTGCTTCTCATTCAAATATATAAAGCTACACTCTGTTGTTTTAAAAAAGTCTTTGTTGTAGAAACAATTCACAAATGTGTCAAACACACATTGGTTCCCCACCCCCTTCTCTGTCCCCTCACCTGATTGGGATGCTAGCTTGCCAGGGATGTGTGCCCACTTGCCAACTCTGCCCAGAATGGAAGCTAGAGCTGCATTTCACATTACTTCTAACCAAGTAGGGCCCTAAGCTTAAGTTTGAGGTTAACCTCAGGGGGCATTTAGCCACACCTGCCACCCCCTCTGCCTGGCCTCAGGGGTGGGGACAGACTTCTGCTGGAGAAAGGGAAATGCTCTGATGCTGCTAATTAACTGTGGGAGGAAAGGAAGCCCTCGCCAGACACCAAAAATACCAAAGAAGAACATTATAAAAAGCAGCCTTTGTAGCAGCCAGCCACATCATTCAGCCCAACCCAGGCTGGGGCTGGAGGGAAAAATAACAACTCTCCCAGCCACTAAGTTCCCTGCATCCCAACTGGGCACCTCAGGAGGTCATGCCCTGAATAAGTGTCTGCTGGAGAAGGGGGTTCCAGGACCGTGGCGGGATTCTGGCTGCCTTCCCAGCTGGCCTTTGGCAAACCACAGGAAGCTGCCTAAAGCTGGCATGTTTATAAGGTGACTTGTGAGACTTCCTTAGAATAGCAACAGGTCTGTTTCATAATTTAAAAGCCAAGGAGTGTGTGTCTATAGAGGTATGAGGTGGAGCTGCAGGGCCTTACCTTAGAGTCTGGGTAATCTCGCTCTCGCAGGTCGCTTTACCACCCTGTGCTTATCAATTTAGGGGCTGATTCTCGTTCTGTAGATGGGACTGTCTTAAACACAGAGAAAGAAGTGTCACCTTCCAGCCAGCCCGAGTCCCCAAAATTTGACTGCCACAAGGCTGAACTGAGTTTTAGGTATCTGAGAGACTCAGGGTCCAGAGGGGTGCTGTTGGGAAGGGCTGGAGTTGCTTCAAGAATTGGATTTGTTCACAAGTAGGAGGGCACTCAGGCTTTTTGACTGGGCCTTAAGCTCAAGAGACTGCAGAATTCCACCAGTGTAGGGGAATGAGGTAAAACTTGAGGGTGGCCTTAGAATGGAGGATTGTGGACCTTAGAATCTGAAAGCTGCCAGAGCTACATTGGAGGCTCTTGGAGGGCATGTTTACAGGGTATGCCTTATTTTATAGGGGCTGGGACTGATTCCCAAGACTGTAAATTGCCAAAACCTGGAAGTTGGGGTCCTAGGATTTCATACCAGGCAAGTTTCCCAGTCTCTCATTCCAATAACATTTTTGCATCTGGGCAGATGAGGGGGAAATTCCGCCACAATAATATCACATGTGCAGGATCCTCGGCAGCTGCACATGCGGTGGCACATGCCCTTCCCTCCCTTCCTGTTGATATAGAATCTCCTTTATAGACTCCTCAAGTGTCAGAGCTGAAAAGATTTTAGAAGCCATGTAGACCAATGATTTTGTTTAACAGGAAAGGAAACAGAGAACCAGAGGAAAATGACTGGCACAAGCACATACAGCTAGTTAGTAATCGCAAGGATTGAAACCAGTTTTGTTGACAACCAGTCCAGGGCTTTTCCCACACCACCACACCCTTTATAACAAATCACATTTGTATGTCAGGGGCTGTTACCCATTCCATACTGTAGTTCCCATTTTACTCTTTTCCATGAAGGATACCTGGAACTGTAGCTTGCTCATAGTTGAATGACTTTCTGAAAAGTTTCCACTATTTGGTATTTTGACCAAAACAACAACAACAAACAAACAAAACAAAACCCTATTAGGTTAGAAAGAAAGAGGTTATCATAGCCAAATGCTGCCAATATGAAATGTGATCAGGGTGGAAGAGCAAATTCCCAGAGTCTAAGGCCTTGCTGCTCAAAGTTTTGTATAGGCCAGTAAGCGTGGGTATCACCGGGAGTCCCACCCAGACCTGCAGAATCAGAATCTGCATGTTCACAAGAGCATACATGATCTGACTAAGTCTGGGTAGTACCTCTCTGAGGCAAGGCTCTGCAAAAAAATCTTTCTCTTCCTCTTCCTCCCCAAATGCTTAACATTCTACCACCTCCCTCTTGCTGCTTTCTTCCACATGCCCTGTCCCCAATGTTACTATGTTAATCTGGTTCTGCCTTTTCTTGAAATTTTAAAGCCACAAAGCGGTGCAAGGGGGTGCGGGGGACTGGATGTATTTTAAAAGGGGACAGAAAATGGAAACTTTTAGAGAAATAAAATATGGCCAATTGGGAAGATCTTTTGCAGCTCCAATGTCACGTTGTTAATGTTGAAATATAAACATCTACTATGTTTATATTGGCTTACTTGTAAAATCTTCAACTTTGGTTATATTTAGGAATTTGATGGCTTGGAAAGCATACTGAAAAACTCTGAGAACAAAAATATTTTTCCCCTTAACTTTATGGAAAATAAGAATATCTCTTTCAAAAAAAAAATCCCAAGAACTTCTTTTCTCTACTTTCTTGATCGTCCCATCCACATGGCACCTTGGCACATTTTTTCCTCTTAGCTTCCTTGTTCTCTTTGTTCTTAGTTTGTTTTTCTCATTTCATTTACATTGTTAAAAACTGGATTTTTCTTATTATTTATTTTTTAAGAATTAGAAAACAGATAAGTAAAAGAAAGCACAACAGAATTCTGCTGATGTAGAAACAATGTAAACTTCTTATATAAAAGTATCTCAAACCTTTTTGTGCATATATTTGTTAACAAAAATGTGATAATTCAGAATATAATAATTAATATAATATTTACTTCCTTTTAAGTGGAACTATAAATTACTAACTTCTTTATATCTGTGAACATACCTCAACAACATTATTTTTGTTAAATTCTGCCATTGAAATTGTATCATGATTGGGTAATATTTCTATTGCTGGATATTTAGGTACTTCAAACTTTTCACTATTAAAAGCAGTATTGGGCATGGCACAGTGGTTCATGCCTGTAATCTCAACGCTTTGGGAAGCTGAGGCAGGGGGATTGCTTAAGGCCAGGAGTTTGAGACCAGTCTGGGCAACATAGTGAGACACTCATCTGTATAAAAAAAAAAAATTAGGTGGACATGGTGGCCCACCCTTGTGGTCCCAGCTACTCAGGAGACTCAGGTGGGAAAATCCCTTAAACCTGAAAGGTCAAGGCTGCAGTAAGCATGACTGCGTCACTGTGCTCCAGCCTGCAACAGAGTTAAACCCCATCTCAAAAAAACAAAGAAGAAAAAAGGAAAAGAAAAATAGAAAAGCAGTGAAAAGCAACACTGCATATTCTTTTTTTTTTTTTTTTTTTTTTTTTTTTTTTTTTTTTTTTTTTTTTTTTTTTTTTTTTTTTTTTTTTTTTGAGACGGAGTTTCGCTCTTGTTACCCAGGCTGGAGTGCAATGGCGCGATCTCGGCTCACCGCAACCTCCGCCTCCTGGGTTCAGGCAATTCTCCTGCCTCAGCCTCCTGAGTAGCTGGGAATACAGGCACGTGCCACCATGCCCAGCTAATTTTTTGTATTTTTAGTAGAGACGGGGTTTCACCATGTTGACCAGGATGGTCTCGATCTCTTGACCTCGTGATCCACCCGCCTCGGCCTCCCAAAGTGCTGGGATTACAGGCTTGAGCCACCGCGCCCGGCCAACACTGCATATTCTTAATGATTTTTTTTACCTTAAAAAACTATTTAATTAATTCAACACATAAAGGCATCATTACACTTGTGAAAATAATTTAAGATAACATGAAATCCTTTTTGACCCTCATTGCTAGCCCTGATTCCCTTCTTCTCCCTCTTCTCTTGTTCCAGCTCTCCCACTCCCACCCCAGCTCAAGGAATCGAATCGTCAACCCAACTTTTGATGGGGGTGTATGGGGTGCAGAGCACAGAATTAAGTGTTGCAAGGATTTCAGTCAAGGACACAGTCTCCACCCTAGTGAGGGAGAACAGGCATTCGTTCATGGGGGGATGCAAACAACAATTCCAAGCTGTATACTGTACCACCAAGCGCAAGTTAAGGTTAGGCAAACTAAGCGCAGTCCCAATAACTGCTGAGTGCACGTGAAGGTCTCTTCAATCTTCAGCA